GAGGTGGAAGCCCCTGGACATCCCAGTGGCCAGTTTCTGTAGCTACAGGAGGCGTTCCATCCTGTCACAGCCACGTGCTCTCCGGAACCCTCCGCCAGCCCCTCCAGCGGGTCTGCAGTGTGACTTCCAGCCTGATTACATTTCCTCCTCAGAAATGGGACCCCTCCTAGAGGGGGTTACTCCCCAACTTTTAGAGGGCTCCAAATCAGGGATGGCCTCCTGGATAGAAGCGAGGGGCACCTGCTGGGGGTCTCTCTGGAAACAGAGCCAGGCTCCCTTCTGTGCAACAGATGGCTCTGAAATAGGAGGATGCCACTCAGAGGTTCCCCAAGTGAACCCGGGCAACGTGAATTTCTGCTTACACAGCCCGGGCCTGAGAAGGACACTGAAAGCTGCTCTTGCGCTAAACGAGATGTGTCCTAGGGTGGAGGGAAGACCTAAAAGAACTGAAACCAAACACTGGTTATTTCTGCAGAACAATTTTAGCCCTGTTCCCAAGTTAGCAGAGTGTCATCAGTCCCACACCCTCTAAATACACAGAGAAGCACCCCACTTGCCTTCCTTTCCCTTAAGTCACCTCAGCACCGACTGTGACCACCGGGGCTGTGGTGCAGGGGCCACAAGAACGGAGGGAGCAGGAAGCAAGGCAGGTCTCTCTCCTAGGAGTCTGCCTTGATTAGAAATGCCATGCACCGTTTCCAGGAATCACAGTGGATCATGCACGGACTCACAAACAAAAAATGAAGGAGATCCACTCTCTCCTGTGGCGACATCCAGAGGCCTGAAAGAGCAGTGAGCCTCCGAGGTCTGTGGACAGGGACAGCCATGACACAGGCACGCTACAAGCCCGTAGGAAGCCGCTCCTCCACCAAGGTCACAATGAGGTGACCGAGCAGTCACGGGCCATTCAAGCCGAGAGTGCACAGGACGAGGTGCCCCACCAAAGCTTTGTTTAAAAATTCTCCCGTCCTTCAAAGCTCACCCTCGGGATGCTCCGACTAGGCCTCTCCTGCAGACNCGAGGTGCCCCACCAAAGCTTTGTTTAAAAGTCTCCCATCCTTCAAAGCTCACCCTCGGGATGCTCCGACTAGGCCTCTCCTGGAGAAAGGGAGCCGGTGCTCTGCTTAAAGTGAAGTAACCAGACTCCACTAGGTGTATGTCACCCACCAGCTGCACCCGTGTTAAAGAGCTGTGCCTGTACTGAGCCAGCGCACACTCACGTCATGTTTGCCGTTCACAAAGCACTTCCAGCGCTGTGGGTTAACGACTTCACAGCACTTTAGTGAAGCACAGACAATATTACTGTTCCCATCTCACAGGTGAGGAAGCTGAGCTGGGCTATGTCACATCACAGACACGCAGCTAGAAGGGGCCAGAGGTGGGGGGATAACCCTTTGGGTCCAAAGTAAGTTCTTTTTCCAACACAAAGACGTTTTTAATCTTAAGAAAACACGTTGGAGAAACAGCTGTGAAAAATCTTCCAATGAAGATGTGTAATAACATAAATGGCTTAAAAACGTACAATGTGCAATTCCGTGGGTTGTAGATCTTAAGAGATATAAAATTAAATACAGAGGTGGGCAAAAGCAGGTTTACAGTTATAATACAAATAATACAATAATTAGTAAATAATACAAGACGACGCTGTGTCCAGTGTACTCACAACTGTGAGCCTACTTTTGCCCACCCCTGCATTTACTGTGTTTCATTCCTGGGCTGAATTAAACACACAAGGATCGAAAGATGTTCCAAAGAGACACTATATATATTTATCTCTCGGGAAAGGCACCTAAAACTAAACACATCCAAGCAAAAAGGAGGCTGTGGAACAGGCTGACTTGGTATGAAGTACAGACACTGCCTCTCTGAAGAAGAAAATTATTAATCATTTGTTAGTTGAGGGTCACTGTGGTATTATAAGCAATTAGACAAAGCCGCTCACTTTACAAAATTAATCCTCAATCCTGTTCATTACGCCTGTTACGCATTCTCCTGAATCAGCACACACAATACGAGGCCTTCACACATCAGAGAGGCGCGTGATTACCGCACATTAGCCGCTGGATAATTTAGCTGAAAGCAACACAAAGACTCATAATTACACTACGTTTAGAGGGATCACCACTTCTCAGTTCTCTTATGGGAAGAGAAAAGAATGCTTCACAAGGTGAAAGCCAGCATGCTTAGGGGTTTTATAAAAAAGAGAGGTCAGATTAAAGGCAGGTTTGAGGCGCTTTGACTAATTAGGGAGACTTTTCACCCAGGGAGGAGCTGTGCGGGCGCGGTGAGGTCACGTGATCCTGGGAACAGCTTATCTGGGAAAGCAGAGGATGGGGGTAGGGCCCACCCAGGTCCTTGGTGCCCACCCACTGGAGGAACTGGCTTAGAGACCTGCAAAAACCACGGCTTCTCCACCTTTTCCCTTTGCTAGGTGATCTCTGGAGGCTGATGGAGGCTTTGCCACTGAGGCACAGGACCTGCCTGCAGGGGTGCTAGGGCCGCGAGGCTTGGTGCCTTCCTCAGAGGGGCCATGGACGGGGAACTGTAAGAGAACGAATCGGAGGGAGGGAGGGAGGGAGCACACTCGAGAGTCAGAAAATCCCACAGCAGTCATGACCCGAGCCTGACTTGGTAAGCTTGGCCACGGGGGCAAGGGTCAAGGCGACTTGCCAAGCAAGCATGATGAATACAGAAGGGGATTCATGACTCTTTCAACCATAAAACAGCGTGTGTGAAGCATGAAGAGGAATGAGTGACAGCAGCACACAGTGCACTCAGCAAACGCTCAGTGTTCCCAGAAGGTAAGTCATAGGTTTACGGGGTACAACTACACCTGCGTCAGTGAGGAGCAGGAGTAGCTGTGGGGGGAGATGTAACAGGAACAACACTTCCAGTACACCATTACGGGCTTATTTGAACCATGACTTAGTGAAAGTGCTCGCAATTTAACTTAAAAGTCAAAATAACCATATTGGTATTTCCCTCCTCACACTAAAGAATGGATAATCTAAACGAAGCAGAAACTGGAACAGGAAACACAAAAACAAACAATAAATGAATTTTTAAAAAAAGCAAAGACAGAGAATACTATGACTTGCAGGTATCTTTTCATAGGTCAGAATTTGTTAAACTGGTTTTCTGAGACAGAGAAATGATTTACCATTTATCCTTTGGAAACAAATTTTCTAGTTGGGCAATTTACTAATTACAGTTGTATCAATTAAGGAGCAAAACACAACAGGGACTTCTATCCAAACAAAATAATCTAAGAACTTTCAACACAGGAAGATTCACTGCTAGATGATTCCTTTGAAGGTGACCCAGAAGTCTCAGGCCTCCTGGGCCCTAGTTAGCTGAGCGTGAGCCAAGCACCCCTGGTTGATTCATGAACTGTTTCTTTCAGCATTACGTTCTGAAGTTTAAATATGGTGACACTGGCTGTACACCCGCCTCCTCCCACCCCCTGGCCTGAAATAGCAGCCGAGGTATTGAGACCTCACCAAAGGCAGTGCTATTTTTTGTAGGAATTTTGGTCAGCTCTTTGAAAAGACCAGTAGCACTAAGCTGGATGTATGCCTTGGTATATTTTTGGCTCCCCTCAGGAGGTACAAAGCTTACGGGTGCTACGGCAGAACCCAACATCCAGTCGCTAAGAGGGAGAGCAACCACATGTCCCAATCTGCTTGGGACACTCCTGGTCTACAGCTGTTCTCCCTTCATAAATTATTAATAGATCTTCTTTTACTCTCAAAAGCATCATGGTTTGAAGAATAAATTACATAGATGGTCAACCTATTGAAAGAGAATCCAGCTTTCAAACATAAGCTTAAATACTCCCTGACCATTACACTGAGAAAATTGAGCTTTGTAAAATTCCTGAGAGCAGAAATTATGTTTTTAAAACATCTTTCCATCTCTTGTATACCAATGTTTAGAATGAGACTCAGAGTAAGTGGCCCCTGGCCTAGTGGCCAGGTCACAGTCAAGGAGAGGAAACTGTCCTGATGAGCTTGAGTCACGGCCAATATGCACCTGAGCACCATTCATGGGCTCATCCATGGGAACTGCTACAGAGCGCTATGGCTAGAAGATCTCTCCCCCTCCTCAGGTATCACCCCAAATGCATGCAATCACTTGTACCTAAAAAGCATGCAAAACTCCAACAAAAAAGTGCACAATGCTTACAATTAATACAGCTTGCCTAACTTCCCACCTGCTACTCTGACTAGAGGTTCACTCCTGGATGGAGATATCCCAGTCTTTCATGTGACTTTATGAGCCTTACTTGGTACAAAAGCAATGAAGGACAGCAGAGAGCCTGGGGAGCAGGGACTGTGCCTGTGTCAGAGCTGCCAGCTATCTGAGCATTGCCTTCTGGACTCTAGGACAGCATCTGGCTTGTGCCCACAGGACAAGTTTTGGTATAGATGTTAGGGGCTAATATACGTATGTCCTCTGCTCACAAGACGTGTCCCCACGGGTCCCAGAAAAGAGAGGGCTCTGTTACTCAGGCCTCACTTTGTGTCCTAGGCCCTGAAGATGGACAATGTGTGGCTGAACCAGAATCAATTAAGTGTCAGCAGATAGAGGAGATAACTGGGAGACTGAGTTAGCATTTTGCAGTTAGCTGACCTGAAGGCAGAGGCAAGCTCTATGCACTGAGCGCTGTGGTCTTTCTATGAGGAACAGACGATGGCTGTGAACCACAGGGCGGGGAGAGAGTTCTGATCGTGGAAATCCTGAAATGCCAAGCAGCCCCACAGAACAGGACAGTGCCGTAACATCATGACATTCTGAGAGCATTTTATTCTCAGCATGTGTTAGCCTGGGAACACGTCTTCCCCACCTTTCCCCAGCCTGGCATGACTACTTTGGCTCTGTGTGGCATGTCAACCAGAAAACCAGGTTTCAAAACTATTAACGGATCTGGGCAAAGGGCTGTCAGTGTGTAGATTTGGTGGCCCCGGCAGAGACGAAGGGTTTTTTTTTCTTGGTCTTACCTATGCAGTAGGGACAACACTGGCCTTTTCGCAAAACAGGTCTTTCACAGGACACTGAAGGGCAGGACTCGGAGTAGCAGCTAATGAGGCTATTCATGCACACGCAGCTGGTGCAGACGTCAGGCTTCCAGGACTCAGCCGCCAGGAATATGTCTCCTTCATCGTTCTTGCAGTAGCTCGGCACGCTGTCGTTACGGGGCGCGGCGGGCTGCAGGGGTGCATCTGGAAGAGCGAACCGAGGGTCAAGGGGAGAAGACGGCGCTGCCGGCCACCACGGGGCCTCGCGGAAAGCGCGCTCGGGCGCCGTGGCTTTGTGTGCCACGTTCCTTAAAGAAATGCCTCGGTCACGAAACAGCAGGTCTGAGTTAGCCCGGGTGTGAATTTTAAAGCAAAACAAGGACCACAGAGGACCTGCTGAGAGGTTCTGTTGGTGGCCTGCACAATATCTACTCTACCATCGAAGTCCTGATTGTTNCAGAGGACCTGCTGAGAGGTTCTGTTGGTGGCCTGCACAATATCTACTCTACTACCGAAGTCCTGATTGTTGGGGGGTGGCTGAGGACTTGAGTCACTGGGTGTGAGTCAAGCAGGACCGTCCCGCTCCCTGCTTTTCCGGTTTCCCTGGTGACTGGGGGTGGCCACGTCACCTGGCTGCAGCTAATGGGACCTCACGGCTAATAAGGGCATTTCTGGGAAAGCTTTCACTTTCTTCAAAGGGCGGAGGGGGTGCTCCTGCCATCCTTCCACACTCTTCTGCCTTGAATACGAGTGTGTTACCTGCAGCTGCAATATTGTTATCCTACCTGTCAGAGAAAGGCCTTCATCACTAAGACACTGCATTAATGGTAATAAACACCTGCCTCCAAGCTTCCTGTAATGCATCTAAAAGAAAGCTCTCCTTGTTTAAAAACGGCAGCTGGGTTCTCTTCCTTGCAGCTACACGCCGTCCTAAGCGATTAATAACCAAACAGATTCCCAGCGCACCTACCCCGGAACCCCTACATGTAATATCCCAGCGCTCAGGCATTCACATTAATAGCCGAAAGACGAAGAGAAACTTACACCACTCATAAGGAGGTGCCCACACAGATGTCACGTGTCTTCCCTATTTAAAGGCTTTGACCAGCCCTAGCCAGTGTGGCTCAGTGGCTAGAGCCTCGGCCCACGCACTGAGGGTTCAATTCCCGGTCCAGGGCTTGTACCTGGGTTGCAGGGTCAACCCCCCTGTCCCCGACTCCCAGCCGGTGCGTGTGGGAGGCAATCAGTCGATGGGTCTCTCTCACCTTGATGTTTCTCTCTCCCTCCCTTCTACTCCCTCTATCAATGGAAAAAATATCCCCAGGTGAGCATTAACAACAACAACAACAACAACAAAATAAAGACTGACCAGAGGGATCCCAGATCTAGTTACCACTGGAAATGGGGACCCAGGTATCCCTTTGCGCCCTGTCCTCCACTGAAACTACATGAGAAGTGTAACTTCAAGCAGAAAAATCACTGGGATAGAACAGAGGAAAATGTGAGGGTCCTCGTTTAGAAATCTCACCATTCGCTGGTAAGAGAAAGTGCCTCTAGCCACCTGCGCGACTCAGGAGGCCATGACGTTCCTACCTAGCAAACGTCATGAGAACCACGTTTTCTCAATGCATACGTGGCTGTGAGAACTATCATGTGCCCCTCTCAGAATCAACCTCAGGAACTCGGCTGTTCTCAGCCAGGACACAGGGATAGCTGAGAGGGACACGCAGTCATCACAGTGAATCAGAAGCCCTGACGGTCACGACCTCCTTCCACCTGCCTCAGGAATACACCCTACAGCCAGCAAGTCTGACAACTAGAGCCCCTTGGAGGGCGGAAGGAGGTCAGCACCATGAAATGGGTCCACGGCTTCTCCTTCAAATTGTGTAACCATGTCGCCTATTACCAGTCCCAAAGGNACCATGAAATGGGTCCACGGCTTCTCCTTCAAATTGTGTAACCATGTCGCCTATTACAGCTGAAAAGCAGGCACAGTGCCATTGCACCGAATGTGCTCTAGGCCCAGGATTAGGCACGGATCCACAGACCACATCCACACAGGTCAGAGATGGCGAGAGAGGGCTACTTCCTCGGTGACCCTTCTGGGTCATCCATGCCCAGGAGTAATTTCTTTATAAGAGTGACCAATGCCAACTTTTGCTTTGGCTAAAAATCAGGACAATCCACTCTCTAGTCCGCACCAGGCTCTGCAAATTGCCATGAGGTTGCTGTGAGTTATGATAGCTTAGCTGTTTCAAGCAATGCCGAGCCTCAGTCTAAAAATTTAGGAGAGAAAGCAGGGACAACAGCCCTTCACCTTTGGGCCGAACCTCTGAGTCCAGTCAGGTGTCCTGCCAATGAATTTGGGCCACTGGTGGTAGAGAAGTCCCTTCCCCCACTCCCCCTCCTTTAATCAAACTCCTGTATTTGTCCTCAGGTCCCAGGACAAGTGGTACCAGGGGTACTTGCCGCTTTAGTTAAAGCTTCCTGGGTTGTACGTGCTCTTAATTCTTTCCCTAGAGGCAATTCTCTTACTTCGTCATTATTTACTAAAACGCAGAATATGGGATCATTGGGCCATTCTTTCCGATTACTGCTCCTCCACAGGACGGGAGTTGTGTCTATCTTCATTGACCTGGGGATCCCCATGGCTCAACACAGGCATTCCATAGTATTTGTAAAATGAGTATCTAAATGGACACAAATTCATGATCACCAATGAGGCGGCGACTGAAAGTGGCTGCTACCAGGAGGAGGGGAATAGTCAGGGTTACATAGTAACACAGAACCATCTGCAGAATTTGTACCTGAGTAACACAGTGCTAATGACAAAAATATGGTAGGGACTGGGCTGCACATATCCTAACAACATAATACATATGAACTATTACACCAGAAAAGACGCTGCACTAATTAGGCTCTCACATCACCACAGTGGCTAATTACCCGGGAGATTCTGTATGAAGATGGTCACGCCTCGGCAGCAGTGTGCCGACAGCGGTGAAGTACGCGGCCGTTCCCGCAGTCATGCGAGGCAATTCAAAACAGGCCATCCAGGCGGACCACGGGGAGCCTGGACCCTGACTATGCCGATGGAATGGCAGAGCCACGGATCTGGCCAGCTGACTAGATACCCCAATGTGGGGGGAGAAAAGTAATAAAATGCAAGGGCTGATGTTTTATTGCCCTAAGAATATACATTTAGAAAGTAAATGGTTATTGATTTTAAGTTGAAAAGATAAAAGATTAAGCAACAGTAAAATAAAACTAGTGAGCCGTCAGCCTGGTAATTTTATATATACAAATTAAATATCTTCTGGAAAAAAGTCATACATTCTAGTGTTAATTTGGAAAAAAGTCATTCATTCTAGTGTAAGTAAAGTGCTACTTTAGTTACAAACCAGTAACTTATGTTTAAAATCCTGACAAAATTTGATTACATTTGTTTCATGACCATAAATTTACCTACTAAGGCCGGATTATCTGAGGAGGACCGGGGGAAACAATATTACTCTTAGCACATGCGGTGCTAGTCACTTAATTCTTTTGCATCTTAAGTTATTAATCATCAGGGGTTGGGGGGAGGGTGAGCATTATGCTTATTTTAGCGATTCCTGTTTAAAATTCTCAAAGGATCTTGACCGCCCTTATATATTTCAGAGAATTTTATTACTTATCAATACCTGCTCTTCTCATTTGTTAAAGACAAAGATGGCCTTTCACATGAGCAACATCATCTGGAATAATTCGGTGCAGCAGGACGGTCTCCTGAGTCTGAGAGGCAGGGTTAAAAAAATGGCAGAACGAACAAGAAGAAAAAAGGCGATCGTCTCCAAGTCACCTTAGGCGCAAAGCATACTGCATTCATAAATGTGAGGTCTATACGTGGGATGGATTTAGAAAGCAGGCCGCCGTGTGTTCCTGCCTGGGCTACCGGTGACTGGCCTTGGGACCCCGTCCTGCGCAATGACAGCGCCTGCGCGGCAGCCTTGGCCACGTGCACCCCGAGGCCCAGCGCCGGTTACCTGTGCACTGCGGGCAGCAGGAGTCCTGCGTGCGCGAAGGGTTCTGGCAGAGCAGCGGCGGGCACACCTCTGTCTCACACATCACCCGCCCGCTGTGGCAGGTGCACTGTGTACAGGAGTCTATGTTCCACGTTTCTCCTTCCACGAAGTACTCTCCTCCAGGGGCGTGGCAAATGGAGGGGTTGCTGAGCTCTGGCTTCTGCACCACAAGGTCATCTGGGGAAGACACAAATCAGAACACGAGACGTTATTCATCAGCAGTCACCCCAACGCCTGGAGAACCCGGGGCTGTGGCTTTAAGGGACAGAGATGAACTGACTGCGGGCTGTCTCACTCCGTTCCTATCGGGAGAGCAGTGAGGGAAATAAATGCAAGGTGGCAGCAGCAGAGTCAGCGTTAGGAAGGGAGAGTCAGTGGTTTACATTTATCAGTAACAGTGAGAGACTCCAACAAGAGAATTAACTTACAGGGAGAGGACATCTACTATTAAAAGAACTAGAGCCTCTTAGGGGAGCTCTGCGGAATGAAGATTTTTTTTTCATTCACTGAGTGCTCGCTATGGCTCCCTTTCCATGCAAAGTGCTTTGCGTGTGTTACTTCACCTCTCCCTCCCACCAGCCCTGTGAGGTAGGTGCTAATAACCTATTTTACAAAGGAGGAAACCGAGGGCTCTCAGCATTAAGGGCAGACAAGGGATCTGAACCCAAGTCTATATCTGGGTCACGGATATGCCTCCAGGTTAAACACAATCTCCAGCTGCTCTGTGCTCCATTCTCTCCCTTATCTCTGGGACCCTGAGCACTTTTACGCTTGGAAAGACATCCTGCTGCTGAGCAGGCCACACCCCAAACTAGATCCGCTGCCAGCAAACTGAGCAGGAATGTTCTGCACGATCAATAGTCTGAAACCCTCACCTGAGAATAAACATTTGTTTGGCGATAGCATCATCAAGAGAGGCGAATGCTCAGAGGCTGAGAACTAAGATTTCTTTCCCCAGGGGAGAGGCGATCTGGCCTCTTCGCGAGGTGATAATGACAGAGAGGGAATTTAATGCTGAACATGTCTAGGAGGTACTGGGAGTTGCCCTGAAGCTGTGCTGAGGAAACGAGAAGCATGGAGACATTAACCATATCCGTGTAATCCAAATACAACAAGCATTTCAAGGAGGTGCTGACAGTGCCGACCCCGCCGAGCAGCAGTCTGGAGACACCGCGGCGAGCTCACGCCTGGGGCTCCGTGGAGATCGGGCCCCAGAACGCCCGTCTGCACAGATGCTCGGAGCTGAAGTCACCTAAGAGCTCGCATTTTCAAAGGGCTGGTCAGCACGAGAGTCAGCGCTGATGAGAGACAGCGGTGTGGGCTCAGTTCCAGCTGAGAAGGTAACTTTTGATACTTGCAAGACTGGAACCTTGACCGCACAGAAGGCCAAGCAACAGAAACCTGACATTAGCCAATGTTTACATCCACAGGCCACTGGGCCACACCTTCTGGGGTCCGAGGAAAGCAGAGAGGAAGTCAAGCATGAAAACTGAGCCGGGGCGAGATGGCAAAAATGCCTTTCTTGTGGTTTACAGAGAAAACGAAACACTGTCCCAGAGAGCATCAATAAACTAATGCTGGAAGGCGGCTCCCTTCCTGGGCTCATTCGATGGAACTCCCTCAGCTATGCGGATGTCCTGTGGGCCTGAGGCAGAGCTCAAGGAGAAACGGCAAGGTAGAGGGTGAGGGAGAGAGAGAGAAAAAGGCACCAAGAAACAGTATCGCTTGGTAAATCTTCCATCCGAAGGGTTTAGGAGCTGCTCACTCAGCCCAGAAAGAAAAGCCAGCTGATCCTTGAATGGAAGAAGAAAAAAAATATCCTTTAAAGTAGGAGTCCACGAATTCAACCGTTCTGGGGTCTCTAGTCAGAAGAAGCCATGTGTGACAATCCACTAAAGTAAAGATATTTGAGAAAAATATAGCTACACAGCCATATACAGGGGTGGGCAAAAGTCTGTTTACAGCTGTGAGTACACGAGTTTATTCTTGTATTATTATTTATTAATTACTGTATTACTTATTTGTATCATGTAAATAAACTTTTGCCCACCCCTGTATACCAATGGATATGTTTTCATACATGTACTCACAGCGACATGGCAATAATCCAGGGTGTGTTCGTATTGCCACTTTTCACATCTCTGTTACAGAGAAAACCAGTCCTGGCTCCACTACCTTTCAGTTCTAAAGTCAAGCACCTGTTCTCAGACTATCTTTGCATCTGCACCAGCCTCACTCGGTCTCCGCTGAGCGTGTGGTTAGCAAAGACCCAGGAGCGGCCCACACTCTGCACACCCACGCCTTTAATTAAAGCAAGGGGTCTTCACTGGGATACATTTTCCTTCCCCAAGGAGTCAGCGCAGAGTTTTGTCCCATCAAATTGCTCATTTATCTTCTGTTGCAGTGGATACTTAGTGGTTTTTCATATTTAACCAGCAAAACACATGTAAAGCGAATTAATTTCGATACGGAGCACAACTGACTCAACTATGGGGAACACAAAACACAAAACACCGTAACCTGGTCCTTTACAGGGCAGGAGGGCTGCCTGCACGTGGATCCTTAGTTCCCGAGGTGTGCAGAATCTCAGAGCTGAATGAGATTCGGGTGCCCCCCCATGGCAGGTGCACCTGGCCAGAGTGTGCCACCTCCCCTCCCAGGTGGGTCCTGCCTTGCTGCAAAGGACAGGGCCCTGGGTTCCCGACTGCGCCCCCCGCAGAAGTGGACTTACCCACAGGGAGACACCTGAGCAGGGCTGACCAGAGGGAAAACAATCATGACTCCAAAATCAGACAAGTACTTTTCAACTTTAAAAGATCTGACATAAGAATGGGAGACTTCCCTTCTCCCTGGCCTTCCTTCCAGCTGACGTACCGTTTTATTGTTTTACTTTGGGGTAAGAGAGTTAATCTTTCTGTGTCTGCTTACCAAATGAAAAACTGCCTAAATGTATTTTTCCCTAAGTCCCAGTGGCCTGTGTAGAGGAAGATATAATGAATATAAGACAGCGTTGAGCTCTTTGGATGGAAGACACTAGATGAAGCATTATGATAATAATTACTGTTACTGACAACCATTAATTCGGACCCCGAGGAGTTATAATCTGTTCTGCTCCTCTGCTGACTTATCTTAATTACCATTACTATGATTTTAAATGTTTTGGATGTGCACTCACTCTACATTTCTCCATTTGGCAAGAATGCCACATATCCATTAATTTAAAAAAGAGCAATAGCTCCGGACATCAATAATTCTCTCCATCTCCAATATTACTTTATAAATAAGCTTTTATGGAATAAAATTAACACCAATCTTTTCCAATTAACTAAGACTTCAGCCTTAATCCATGCTCCGTAAAATGGAGAGCTGGAATTTAAGGACAAAAATCCACAATCCTTTACACAAATGGAGCTCAAAGACCAATATAATTGAGTAAAGCATTCAAAAATAAGGAGTGTTATAGAGCTTTACAATTTTCTCTGGTCTTTGGATCATCATTTATAGCACCCGGCTGACTCTGTGGCTATTGTTGACAAAAACCTTGAAGAGGTGAAATGTGTTCTGTGTTGTCCCTGCATCTCTCCCCTCAACCCCAACCCCGAGTCACAGACACGATGAGACCCTGCTGGGCAGATAGCAGCGAGCTCTTACCTGAACATGACGGGCAGCACTGTCCTGGACGGATGGTGGGGCTGCCACAGGCGGGCACCGGGCAGGTGATCAGAGCACACATCTCCCGGCCATTGTGACAGTAGCACTCCCGGCACCCATCATGCCAGCTCTCCTCATTTTTATGGTGATGGCCATCCATGGACAGACATGTGCCTGACAGGGCAGGCGAGCTGGGTGATGTGGGGACCTCTGCAGACAGAAGGGAGCCTTGGTAAATAAAGACACAAGAGGAACAGCCTGCAGTGTCCTCACAGATAATGCTACCCAGCTACCCAAAGTCACGTCTACAAAGGACAGTTCACTCAGGAAAAGAATTTAAGTTAATATGCTTGCAATTTTGAAAATAGAAAAAACCTGCAAAGCATATAGATCTCCTGTTGGTGGGATTATAGTGACTTTTACTCCTTTCACCTAATTTCATTTTTATACAATAAACGAGCACTGATTTCACAGCAAGTGTGGCCCATGTTTAACATGCGCAGAATAATCGCTCTGGAAGTCGTCCGGTGGGGAAATCCTGGGCCCCTGGCACAATTAAAGCGGTGGCTGGATTTTTGTTTATTCTGACGTCTTAAAACACCACCACGGTGATAACAGTCCAACTCTGATGAAACACAGAACAGACTGAGGGGTCTTTCACTGCTTCACCTGCGGATCATGCTGACACCTTGGACAGTGGGGGGGCAGCTGGGCGGAGCTGGGGCGAGGGCAGGGCGGTGCGCAGCGAGATGCTCAGGTGGCTGCAGGACCACCCGGAGTGGGAGGGAGCCCCACACCAAAGAAACGGGGGTGTGTGCCTATCCACCGCAGGCTGGCAGGAGGCTAAGCTCTCATGGGAACAGTGTTGCCAGGAAGCAGCCATGCCCGCCTCCGGGGCTCTGAAAGGGGAGCTCTGCTGTCTGAACTGCACCACCCACTGCCAGGCAGAGGGAGCCACGCAGAAGGGAAAGGCGCTCGAGGCTAAAGTCCCGGGACAAGTAAAACCGAAGAGCTAAGCAGCGATTCACTCGGTCAGTGTGTCTGTCCATTATATGCTTCCTTCAAATTCTATGGTGAGTGTTTACTAAGAGGATAGGAAAAGGGGTGGTCCCACCGAGGGGGACAGTCTGTGTCAGAGCAGAGAGCCATCGCCGCAACGGTTCCACTGACAAGACGCCCCTCTGTCCCTGCTGCTGTGCCCGGGCTGTTGGTGGGGGTCCCCCGCTTGCACTCACCTCTGCACTTGCAGGTGACACAGCCATGGCTGTCCTTCTGGAAGCCCAAGGAGCAGTTTTTACTGCATGGGAGCTCTGGGCACTTCCTACAGCGACAGACGTCACAGCCGTGCTTATTCTTCCTGGGTAATTAAAATTTTTGCCAGAGATCAGAAAAATCCATAAGTTTGAAATGCTGCCCAGGCACTTGGACCGAGGGTCACTGAAGCGATCCTGCCATCAGGCGGGAGGACGTGGCTTTTGCTCTCGAAAGCTCCTGCGGTGGCGTGTAATTAGCTCCCCGTGGCCAGGACCGCCCCCCGCCCACGGCCACGGCCCTCCCGTGACCACGTTTCTGAGAAATTTCGGTAACATTTTAATGAGGTATCTGCTGGCACTGATAGAAGGTGGAAGGAGTTAAGGGTCCATGGAGCTGAACAAAGAGGAAGAGCCCCGAGAGGTCCCGCAGTCCCCTCGTTCCTTAGAAAAGAGCGTCAACTGCAAGGTGCTCCAGCCACGGGGTGTGACAGGCCTACGGGCAAAGGAAGGAGGTCGGGTAAACTGTTCCTCCTCTAATGAGCCAGGGCGCCTCAGTTTTGTGCTGGCTGGAAAGATGATATTAAATAAGGAAGTGTATGTTTATAAATACTATCGCGGTGGGGATTTCTCTGGACAAAAATATTCTTACCAACAATTTTTTTTTCCTTTTTCTGAAAAAGAGAAAGACACTGCCTGTTACAAAAGCAGCTCCCCCACCTTCCTTGCTTTCTGCCCACTGGCTGAGGCCTGGGTCCTCTCTCAGGCTCTACAGGGCTTGGACTTACTCTGTTTACCCTCAGCTTTCACCCCAATTAGCCCTAAGTGGCAATAGTGGTGTTCAAGAAAGAAAGAAAAAATCCCTGTGTTTTCTCATCTTGGGCAAATGAAGGGGCTCTGAAAGAAGACAGCCCCGTGGGAAAACCGTGGTGTACCACTCGGTGTACCACTGCCAAGGGACAATTAAACTACGACGTGCTAGGTGAAACGGTCCGCTGTTTCCTTTCACACATTGAGAACGAAGAATTAAATTAAATGGATTATTCACGCTCATGCCACATGCTGTGTCATTTTCAAGACCTCTCAAGGCCCTGGCTGCGTGGTTTTTCACTCTCACGCACCCGCTCGCCCCTCCCTGCTGTGTACACCGGCCCACAGGAGCGGTCCCCTCTGCAGGTGACGCAGGAGCAGCCGCCTGCCCGCGTCCTGACGCCCCCACGTGGTGTCCGGCCAGGACCGCTCCTCCAGAGGCTGTCCTTGAAAACCAGCTAATGCTCTGGCCGGTGCATTTGTCTACTGCCATCAACTTGGTCCTCGAGTGTGCGCAGGGACAGGAATACAAAGTGCCACCTGAAATCCTCTGCGGGATTTCTCCCCAAGAGGAAGGCTGGACCTGAGCGCAGCCTCCCTCAGAACTGTCCTCATGCCGCAGCGGGGCTGCGGCCACTGTCACGATGATGCTTCATTCTGCACGAGCAGCTAAGCTAGGAAATACCTACTCTATTCCTAGTACTGTATTCATATTTTAGGATTAAGGACAATGATGATTAGTTTACTTGGGAAATTTTTAAGACTAGTGTTCCCAACTTACGCAATTAAAATTAGAATTAAGATTCCCCACCTCCTTGCTAAACCAGAATTTCCAAGAAGAATAAAAATGACGCCTTTAATAAGATGGGCAAGATATGATGGGTCTAAGTCCCTTATTAATAGTAGCACTATATATCAAACTGAAACAGCAGAAAGATTAAACTGGAAGGGACCCGAGGGAAGAATGATAAAATAATATTCTGAAAGGTAATTTTTAAAGGGGCCAACTTGATATAAAGGCAGAAACGGATGCCAACGCAGACACTGGAGAACAAACATGAAATGTCTATTTCCCCGCCCTGGAATAATCTGATTTCCTGAGGACTGACACAATCAAAAGTATTTGAAAATACAAGTCATGATCCTTATCTTCAAGAAAATTCACAAAATCTACAGCCACGTAAAGAGAAAATATATTATGAACTGCAGACAAGCACCAAGGTAAGATATGGAGGTGTGGCAGGTAAGGATGCTCAGTGTTGCAAGCGGGTTCCTGGCAGCTGATCTTCAGAAGGGAGTCAGTAAGTTAGTTATCGCAAAGCCCCCGGGGCAGCCGTGAAAGCACATTTACAACCCTGAGACCTCGGGACAGTTCCATTTCCCCTGCAGCGTCCAAGGGCTCCTGTTATGGAGAAATCACAGAATAGGCCCCAAGGGCAGTGTCGTAACAGGGCTCTGGCCCATCTTCAGAAAAGAGAGAGTAAAGCTGACTCTCAGCTGTGGAGACACCCCCCTGCCCCTCCTCCGGATTCACCTGCGACGGCAGAGAGATTCTGGACTCGGTACATCACCCGTTCATTCCCAAACACGGAACAGCTGACAAGCAGGCACAGCCGCCTCCCCAAGTTACAGGCGGTTAGGAACAGCGCTTCTGAACTCAGAGATACGTACAGGTATCCGAATGGACAGTACTTGTCACAGGTTACGGGTCGGCACTTCTTGGGCCGGGGCCGGCACCGACAGATCTCGCAGTTGTGGGCGTCAGTCAGGAACCCGAAGGGACAGTCCAGCGTGCAGCCTCGCTTGAGGCCGGCGCACAGCTCCTCCCCTGTGAAGACACAGGGACAGATGTCACCCCCCCTGCCATCCCACCCCGCGTGTGCATGTCTCAGCTCCCCACAGCGGTGGGGATGGCGGGAATCCAGAGACGGAGCTAGTTCACGGTCATCGCAACGTAACTCCAAGCTTTGGGACGAATATACAAAATAAAGCCCGACCCTGAAAACTAGGTTTCTCACCTGTACTCTAATCGGGTGCTGGGGAGCAGGCTGATAACATGCTGACTGTGGCGCAAAAAAAACTGAGTGAAATTTCTCATGAAACTTGTTCTTCTTGGTCACCTCCAAACTACTGACTACCATTTATGGATAAAATGTGAGAATTAGAAATTTACGCCTAAAATTTCATTATATATTTTGTTTCTACCGCGTGACGGTAATAATGCATGTTCTTAAGTATTCACACACATTTACTCTTACAAGTTTTAGATGTTATCATATAATCCTGCATATTCTACACTGAAGCGTAAAGGGTTTCTTACCCTTTCTTTAAAAAGAACACCTCTTACAATACGACAGGAAGTATTTCATGAAGCTATTTTTTTTGTCTACTGCTGACAAATATACAGGTAGTTGGATGCACTTAGAGAAATGACTAAAATATTTATGTGCCAAAGGAATATCTAGATTTATGTTTAACTATCCACTGCCTGAAATGTTCACAGTGCCCCCTTTTGGTTGGTTTTTAACTTATTAGTTTAGAAGTGGGGAAAAGGAGCAATGGTGACTGGTAGAAGAAACTACTAGAGCTATTAGCTTAACAGAAGTCTTCTAAAAAGATTTTAAAAGGTGTGATACAGGAATTAATAGCATAATACAGAGAATAAAAAGGTTAAGGGAAAAAGCACGCTTGGTGATGGAACGAAAGCAAGTTGGGACTTGTCTAAATTAATGGCACAATTTGACAGGCAATCAAATTCTGACGGCAAAAGCATGGCGATGTTTGATTACTGCTCTGCGTGGATTAGTAGGATAGGGAGCAGAGACCATTTTTGTTGAAATAATAAATTAATCTTTATTGCATCTGGACACCCTTTGAGCAGACATATTATAAATAATGCATGCGTTACTAGGAAAAACAGAACACATTAGTCTGTTCCACACACAAATCTTCCAATCTAAAATTAAACCTCAGCTACAATTAATAGGCGAAATGAGCTCATGTTTTACATAAATATTTTAAGATAGCATCTTTCACGAGTCTTAGCTGCGATACACAAATCTTTAATTGGCTATCTTTTAAAAAGGAAAATGTGATTTATGGTATAATTTTCTACTTTGTCATTATAGTAAACCGTTCATTACATGTATTTAATACAACATCGTAGGTCTGTATTACACTGTGAAACAACTAATTAGTAATTTGCATCCTTAAAAGCCAAATTCTAAATGTCTCACTTAAAAATTTGCAATTATATAACCTGAAAGGCCATAGTTTCTCAACTCTCTCCCATTACAAAGGGCATGGACAGGAGGGAGAAGGTGTCACAGCCACACTTCTTTCCCTGACACTGAGATCAAGTTGCGAGCCCATTTTTCTAATTCGTTACAAGAATTTTTAAGTCACACCACCAAGCAGGTTATCTTGGGCAACAGATGAATTAAAAACACTCTGAGAACTTCCCAGTCAGAATCCCTGGGCATTAAATTCCTTTGAACTTTGGAGTCTGGTCACCTTTGTGCCTTTAGTTTTTTACTGCTTTAAAAAAGTTTTTCCTTAGACCTTAATCTAGAATGGGTTTCACCCTTAAAGAAAACTGTTGCGTCACCAAGTTTAAAAATTTTGATAAAATCTAATTTTGTCTTTAAATATCTCTGCTTTGCAATGGGAGAGAATTTCAAGCAAAGGCTGCTATTTAAACATAAATGGGCAGTAGGCTGGCGCTGCCACCCAGGGCCAGGCGCTCCGGGGCGGCCCTGCCTGCTCGCCGGCGTGCTATGGTCTGGGCCCATCTCCACTCTGCTCCCCCACAGGAGGGGGCTCTAGGATGGGGCCCTATTTTCTTTATTTACACAGGCCAGGTGCTATCATGGTGTTCAGCATGGAGTGTTCAGCATGTACTTGCAGGACGAACCAAGCAATCAATGCTCTCGTTATTGACTCCTCCACTCTCATCCACGGCCATAGCCACAGAAAAATAACAGGATCCAAACACTTACTTTAATAGTATTGAAAATTTCCAAAATACTGGCACTTGTGAAAACATCTCAAAATATCATCTTCTAGCTCAGAAACACAGAACCTTAAAGTCTGACTGTAAGGCAGTCCTAGATCCATGTATTAATTCCAGACTTTTAAAAAGAGAAATATACCTTCACGGCAAACATTTACATGAAGCAGCAAAATAAGCAGATTAGAAGCATCTTCTTTATTCACAGATGGGTGGGGGGTTGTAAGTTTGTTTAAAAAGCTTCAGTACCTCACTTGAGGCAACCACAGGAAGAATGGTGGCTTTGTGTTCATAATTTTTCAGCATTATGACTTCACTGTGATCCATAAATGCTCTCTAATCCATAGGGGGAAATTACCAGGGAGGGGAAAGTTATAAATCACAGCAAAGTACAGGGCCTGTGCACTCTGGCTGGTCAATAGCAACTACGTAATAAAACTCTGTTTACTCGGGAGAAAAAGAGATGTTTGCTCCCAGGGTCAAGAAGTGGCCCAACTGCAGGAAGCATCATTCACACTTTATTATAAGTGAATACCTTGTAACTTGCACAGAGAACACAGCCTGACGGTGCCCCTGGAGTTCTGCTACACTTCTCTGCTACATACTTCACACTCGGTACTGGCAATTCCCATCAACCTGCTAGACAAGTAAGGAACACCAGAAAGTTCCCGAAACTATTACAGAAATGCAACGCTGTCCGTGGGCGTCCCAACTGTGGCCCTGATTAAGTGTTGGCTCAGGGTTACAACCAAATAAAATGAGGAGCCCGCCTCCCTATACTTGATGCTGCAACCTTCTATAGGTGCCTGATTCACATACACAGTCCATGAAAAACACGAAGGCTTTTACTCCCTGCTACCATTAATTTTCTTTGTCTGCATCTGTTTCTAGAAGAAAACATTATTAGTTCCTAGACTTACAGAATGTTAAAAGTGGAGAAATTACAAATAACCCAGCCAAATCCACGTGATTTAAAGATGTAGAAAATAATGCCGAACGATGAATGGCATTTAATCCATAGAGCTGTCACGGCATGTAGTTCACACAGTAAGCTGAAGTGTGCTATGTCCGTGTGACAGCAATAAACGTTTCTGGTTAAAAAGTAATGCTATTAATAGCTTGTGCCAATGCTGGTAGGTTTTATTAGTAATCACATTTTCCTTTATTCTAAATATGTCCTCGAGAAACTGAGTTGGGTAATTTAAATTTCTCTGTGTGCACTCGATGCATTACTTTGCTTAGTGTTGTTATAAGACTGGTATCTGTTTTAGGTCCAAACAAAAGAACCCTCTGTCATGCCTTCCACGTACTCTGAAGGGCATGTTCCTACTGGGGTTTGATTTCAATCTTAAAAGTAACTGTCTATAATATGCTTGATTATGCTGCAATATCATTATAACCTATTAGCATATTATCAATATTACCAATGGTAGTCAAGACAACCATTTCAATCTTGTTCATATCCCTAGTGCTTGGCATATAGCAGGCACTCAAATAATGCTAGATAATGGAAGAAAAAAAATGAATGTGTAAACAACAAACCAACAGACAGGACAGAAATATTTATTCGGTGCTTGCCTAACTCTAGGAAATCTTGATGCCAGCAGCCTATATAGACAAGGCATAGTCCCTTACAGAAAACAACAGAGGTATCAAAGGTTAGGACCACTGCCTGTGAAACAGGCTTCTGGTGGGATGCAGAAAAATAACATATGGGATTGAAATTTAGATAAAATAAGTACTTATCAGGTAGCTGCAATGGGAAGAAGAACACACTTATGCCATCCTTCCCTATAAGAAACTTCCTTTTTTCCCTAAAGATGGGTAAAAGAGAACGAGAATATTTGAGGGTTAAAAAGGAAAGGTGAAGGGAAGCTGTCTGTGTGATGCCCTCAGAGGACAGGAAGAAGCGAAGGCCGGCTGGTGTTGAACGAAGGAGGGGGGAGCTGGGGGCTCTCCACGTCCACTCGCTCNGGGGGGAGCTGGGGGCTGACGCAGAAATGGATGTTATACAACAGCTATCGTGGAGAGTAAACAATTACCTACGTCGGTGAGTAACGCGAGCACTGCATGCACTCATTTACTTAGTCCTCAAAATTACCCATTAGTTAGATATTATTATTGCCCTTTACAGATACAGAGGACGCAGAGGCCTGGAGAAGCAAAGCCACTTGCTGTGACCACCCAGAGGCAGGCCAGTCTCATGCCAGAGCCTGGGGGAGAGCTGGGTACACAACCAAGAGAATCTGACAACCAAGGATCTGGCAGTTTGGTTTAATCTGACTCACCTCCAAAGGTGTGGCTTTCAAACATGTCCAAAGATCAGGGCTGCTGCTGGGGGGGGGGAAGCAGAAGGCTCTACGACTAGACTTCCGATGCTCAGGTCAAACTGACAAATTCCACTTGGTGTTTAATTCCGTTTTTAGGGATACAGTGGCAGTGAGTGAGATGGCAAAAGACTAGCCCAGGTTGAGAATCTCAGGGTGAGGAAATGGCTACATGGCCAGAATGGCGAGTCCTCAGGGGGGATTTCAGACAAGAAAGATGTCCAATGGCAGCCCTGGTCCTGGGGATCCCTGCTCATTCACAGACCAACATCTGCTGAGTGCTGAGTGCCAAGCGTGGGCCTGGGAGACGGGCCAGTTACTGCCCTACTCTGGCGTCAACAAGGTCCTGGACCCCCTACAGGGCCAAAGCGTCCTATTAATAGAATGCACTTTTGTAAGTTATAGTATTTGGCTTGAAATGCTACTTTATTAGTGTGTTGGATACAGATTTTTTTGCCTAGGGCATGCCTTTCATTTATTCGTTGCTACAGCATCAACACCTACGACAGTACCTGGAACTCAGCAGGTGCTTGTCTAGACCAGCAAAGGAAGAAAGAAGGGAGGAGGGAGGGAAGGAAGACTAGACAGCTCTACAAACAGGTAAAATCTGCAAAGAATGAATGGCTAATAAAAATTTACCTGTAAAAAAAAATTGACAAAATTCAACAGTCTCCCGTACATCTTTCTTTCTACGTGTTAAAGAAATGGAGGTGCAGTCGGGTAGTATCCACAGATATTCCCTCTATAAAGCCAGAATGTGGCACTAACCCAAAGGCTGGCGAGCAGAATTCTCCCAATAGCCTCAATCTGCAAAAAGCCGGTAACATGTTTTTGACTGGCTTTGATGACAACTGAGGGAAACTGTTCCTTTGGACTCAACTACAAAGGGCTCATTGTGGAGCGGCAGGGGTCTTACGTCAACACGACCGTGGGGACAAACAGTTCCTCACAGCAAAGCCCAGATGAAGGTGGTAGGTGGGGTGAGATTAAGCACAATGACTCAAAAAGTTCAGAAAAAAACGTAGGTGCCCTCCCAGGATCAGAAAGGATGTGTCCTCGAGAGCGATAAGAAGGATTAAAATATAAAGGCTTCAGGATACAATCACTAATTATCTTGCTGTCAAAAACCAAAGCTGGCCATTTAAGTAAACAAACGTGTCTGCCAAGGCGGCTCCCTAATGAATCGGGCTTCCAATCAGAGCCGTGACGGGCAGAGAGGTGGTGACCCGGCTGCCTCCTCGGGACAGCAGCGGCCGCAGGAGGGCAGGACGCCCCGATGGCTCGAGGCTGATAGGAAACTTAAAGGTGGCAACACCCACAGTCACAACAAGAGTTTTATAAACCATTTTAGCACCAACTTCCTCAGGCTGATAGTGTGATGACACATGTAACTAAGAAAACCGAAGTACTCAGCTCCTATTTTGTATCTGAATATCAAAATACTCTTACAACAGAAAGCATCAAATGATAAAGGTGCAGAGGAACAGAAAGCCCAGGATGCCGGGCAAACCAGAAGGTGAGCACCTGTCTGCACTGAGAGAGTCCAGACTCTGAGCCCGGGATAATTACACCCGAGGCTCACGGGAACCTTATTTTAGAAGCACTGTCTATGTTTAGAGAGATCGGAGTGAGTGGAGAGAGGGTTCAGAAAACAAAAGGAGCCAAAGGTCAATTAAAAAAAGACAAAGGTTCTAAAACTGCAGAAACTAAGCTAGACATTCACAATGGAAAACTCTGCAGCAAGAACTGTTAAATGTGAGGTTTATGACATTTAGGAAAGAAAGCCGTGTCCACCAGGAGCCAGCCGGCGTAGGATCGTGAAGAGCAAGACGGGCCCCCACTAACTCCATTTTATGGTTAAAATGGGGTTCCCAGCAAAGGGACGCCTCAAATCCCACGGTTCTGATTTCAGGTAAGATCCAGGTCACCTGTTTCGAGACTTCGGTGTGGAGATGGAGGTGGCATGCTGTTAGCTGACCGATCCCATAGCAACAGTGAGAATTAGGGTCCTTTGTCGTCTGGCAGGAAGGTGGTCAGAGCTCCAGGAATCTGTCCTTTGTCCTGTACAACTTAATTTTGGTTCAGCGTTTTGAATGAGGACATGGAAGCTGCGCTTATTTAATACTAGCTGGAGCCAGAGGTAAGGTGTTAGAGCACATTAACGAGATTAAAAAATATCCCAACTAGCTGGGAAACCGTTTGAAACTCTCAGGATAATTTCTTGTTAAATGTGGCGCTATATTTATGTCATTTAAAAAAAAAAAATCAAATGCCTAACAGCAGCTGATGTAAAAAAAATGCACCTAGTGGTTCTAGCTGCTTACAAACTCAGCATGAGCAACAGGGCTAATTCGAAGAGCTAAGTTAGGCTGCCTGCTAGGACTGCACTGATCAGACCAGATTCTGGAGTATCTGTCTGTTTCTGGGCCACACATTTACACAAGGACAAGGACCTACTCTAAGTGTGTCAACGATGGAAAGGACCAAAAAAGGTCTAGAAACTGTATCACCTGGGGAATGAATGGCTCAGGGAACTGAAGGTATTTATTTTGGTAGAATTAGGGGAATTCAAAATCGTTTTACATGTGAAGGGAGGTCAGCGTGTGTGTGGAAGAAATGTAATAGACTCTATCAAGTTTCAGAGGTCGTGGCTCGAGGACACGACTGGCATCCACATGGAGGGGAGCTGGGGTCAACACAGTGAAGCACAGTCTCAGGATTATGACTGCCATCCACGGAATGTGACACCCTCTGTGTGGGTGACCTCCCTGTCAACTGGGTGACCCCAGCAAGGTTATGTTAGAGACAGAGCCCAAGGGGTGGTTAGAAAGACATACTTAGAGCTCTGAGGGCTGTACCCAGGATGCAGCTGGGCATCGAGGAGCATCTGACGACAGAAATAAAGACGAAAACCAGAATAAAGCAGCAGCCACCCCCCCACCCCCCCCGGAAATGACTGTGTATTTGTGTTTAGCACCAACTTTCCCTTCTTTCAGGTTGCTAAGAGAACGTCATGAACAGGAATGCAAAGGACAGTCAATCACATAACAGGCCTCGACAATACCACACGAGGCTCGGAAAAAACCACCTGTCTTCTGCGTACTTACTGCTTTTGCACTGACAAGTTCGACAGCCACTGTGGTCAAGCTTGAAACCGTAAATACAGTCCTTCTCGGTCAGGCTGCAGTTGGCTAGCTCCCCGCACGCCGGCGGATCGATTGTGATGTAGGTGGGCTCTATTCATGAAAAGAGAGGAGAAAAGTCAGGGAAACATGTGATTATCTCTCAGTTGCTATTCAGTCTTTGAAATTCCACGCTGCAGCAAGTTACAAAAGACTAATCAATTTTCGTCAAATCCTGAACTTTCAGACTTTCATAATGTCTTTTTTTTTTAAATTGAATTTACTGGGGTAACATTGGTTCACAAAACCAAACAGGTTTGAAGTGTACAACTCAGTAAAACATCACAATGCCTTTAACCCCTGAAAAAAACCTTTTTATTTAGATTTTTGATAATCCAAAAGCTCTACTTCTTTACGTCTGAGCAACTTGCGCTTTCCACACACTATGGAAAGCAGACAAGAGAGGCCAAGGTGAACTCCGCTTAAATTGTTAACTGTTCCTCTATTTCTTCCTGATGTTTTCTGAGTTTACTGTTTATAATAATCAGACACCCTCCCAATTATCAATCATCTCTCCATTTTGTAACATTTCTGAAATGTCAGCATTTTTTTTTTCAGGTTAATAAACCAGAGATGTTTCTGAGACTAGTTTGAAACATGTAGATTTCTTTCATCTTTTATGTATCAGTCCTTCAACTATTACAGATGGGACAATGGGTAACGGACTGAAGCTTATACTCAGGGCCCAGGGCTTACGGGCGTGGCAGGGTGAGACGCAGGCGTTTGGGAAGGAGAGTGAGCAGCCACCTGGGAAGAGATGCACAGGAAAAACCAAGGCCGGGTGACGCTTCACCTTCCCTACCACGCCAGTAATAAAGAATTGTTCTGGGCAATAAGAATAAAGTGTATTATGCGTCTATAATAATGTTTGCAGCGCTCTTCATGAATGCCTTCAAGCTTCATCACACTCCAGTGAGAAGGGTGCCGTCATTAGCCCCATTTCACAGATGAGAAAACCTGGTGCACTGATTTGTCCAAGGTCACAGAGTGAGTAAGTGGTGGATCCAAGAATCAAACCCAGGCATTCTGGCCCCAAGGTCACCCTCTGAGCTTCTGTGCAATACACAGTTCATTGCAATGGTTCCCGTTTCGCATTGAGAGGGACAGTTTATGTAATGCCAGATGGTGGTTAGAGTGTTGTCAAAGGGAACAGAGACACTGACATATTTATGTAGCCTCTGTTCAACCCAAAGATACTATGAACGTCTTCAGTGTAAGCTGGCTCTCACAATATTTTGTGAAGAGCTAAGTACAGAATGTCTCTACCTATGCTTTCACAAGTGGAAAATATGAAGTGCAAGGAGGGTAACTGGCTTATCTAAGTTTATATAGCAACCCAGTAGCAGGCTGGGCACAGAACAGAACAAGAGGTTCCTGACCTCCCGCCCGACACGCTATCCATTAGTCCATACTGTTTTCTCAAGTTTCATCTCCGGTTACCATGGAAGAGAGTCCAAAATAAGTGTTTCAGCTGCCACTGCTAAGATCCAGAATTCTACATTTTCATCCACCGTCTAAAAGGGGCCAGTGGCCCGGCCGGGCGTGGCTCAGCGGTTGAGCGTCGACCTAGGATCCAGGCGATCAGGGTTCGATACCCGGTCAGGGCACATGCCCGGGTTGCAAGCTTGATCAATGACTCTCTTATCATTGATGTTTCTCTCTCTCCCCCTCTCCTTTCCTCTCTCTGAAATCAATAAAGATATATTTAAAAAATAAATAAATAAATAAAATAAAAAAATAAAAGGGGCCAGTAATTCAACAGGTAGGAGGCAACCGTAACTTTCTCAAGGGATGCTTTGCTCAGCACCCTCCCCGTGGAAATGCGATTGAAGAGAGTATGGCACATGCTCTATTTTTATTACAGCGCATTTTGCAGAACATCTCCCTATTTTTATATAAACTTTCCATTGCTGTCAAGTTTCTAATTTCCTTCCACGACTAAAGCATGCTTTCTGACAGATAACTGTAAACACCAAAACGCAGCTTAAGTTTCGGCAAGGTTTAAGACAACAGCGGACTAAACACAGTAATGCTGCTTCCCCACGACGTTCTCTTAAAAATGACCATAAACGCATTTGGCTTTGAAACCTGTGTAGTTTTTTCTTTTATCACTGTGCTTACTATTAGCCACCCCCAATAATGATGCTGCTTCAGCCTTTCCCACAAGACTGCCAGTGTTTAGTCTAAATTATCATAACCACAAACACAAGAGCGAGCAGAGGGCCCGCACGCTTAAGGAAACCACGCCCGTGACCCACCGAGGAGGGAGTCGGGGCCGCTCGGCAGGGTGCTCGGCCGCCGCGGCGATTTCACTCGCGCACCACCCGCCCGCTCAGTCGGGGCGCCCACCTCTTCTCCCTTAGGGTGTCAAATGAAAATGAAACAGCCAACACAATAGCCGGCTGGTGTGAATGAATCAAAAGTATACCTATTTTTTTGTTAGATCAGCAAAAACCATACTTTTTGGTGTGCTGCAGAACTTCAGTAATGTCTGTGTGCCGGGAGACCGAGAGGCGGAAAGTCGCTGCTCCGGAGAGTTACGGGGCGAGGACAAGGGCTGGGTCTGCCCGCCCAGCGCCTGAGCAAGCGGCTCATCCACACAGACCAAAGCCTCGTATTCGTCACTGGCATTTAGGTTTATATTCTGGCCTTCAGGAAATGTATTATGGAGAAATACGTATCTGGGCAGATGACACTGACACTGAAAATTCGTAATAATCACAGGGTGGTATGGAATTTTACTTTCAGCGAATTTCAGGGATTTAAGAGAATTCAAAGTGATGTATACGCTATTGTGGGCACATACTACGATTATTGGATGGGATCAGGGTTGTGATCTGTGGCTAGAAAGAAAAAGGAAAAATTGGTTGCTTGAGGATCAGAACCTCGACACTGATGCAAACAGTCCCACGTTTTATCCACACAGCTACGCCAGCCAGGTACACAGGCCCAGACGCCCGGCAAGCACACAGTTCTCCAGAGAGGAAATCATTCGGTGTTTCCCTACAATGTTCAGGATAACACCTCTTGCTCAGTTTAACAAGTGAAAAAGAAATACACAGAAGGGCTGTTTAGTAGATGCTGGTCCTACAATGCTGTTTTAGGTAAAGCAAGTCCTACTGGATGCCCTCTGGGCCTCAGACGATGTGGCAGAACGCAAGAAGCAAAATATCATTCAGGGCCTCTAAAATTAGTATTTCCCCATTCACTTATGGTGCACATTAGATGAAAGAAATTGCGAAGTATATGCATTTCAAATTATGACTCCCTCAATATTTAATATTAAAAGAAAGAAAACTCAACAAAACTCAAAACTCAACATTTACTCATGAAAATTGTCAATTTGCCTTGGAACTATTCAGTGTCCCCTCAACAGATTAGGCCAAACACAACAACACTCATTGTGACATTAAATCTAGACAGAACTCTAAATTAAAAAACAAACCACACGTTAACACTAGTTATTATATTTAACAAGTAAGTATTGCTTTCCTTTTCAAATACAAACTGGAGTGAATGTTAAAAGCCTCTGGAGGGTGATGACACACATGCTAGGTTACCTACTGCTGCTGTCCTGTGTCACTGGACTGAGCTGTTGGTGTGTAACAGGCATGGATCCAGGCAAGTGGCTGTCTCCTAACATTATGTCTGAAGTCATATATTACATTCTACTTCCTTTCATCATTCTCGCAACATTTAAGTGCTCAGTTTCCTACTGTGTTAGGCCATGTCTATATTAGATTGCAGTAAGAATAATATTATGACAGAAATATGCAACTATATATACATCACCTAGCAAAAATCTGGTATATCATAAAGACATCTGAGTTTGTTTTCAGTCCAAAATATTACCATGTAACTTCAGAAATGGTCCTCTTACTAAAAGTGGGGCAATTTTTTGAGAAAGTGCTGTGAAACTAGTGAAATTCAATTTCTTATTCCAAACAATGAACTCCAATGTGAGACACATCTGATACTATCCTGAGTTAGAGCATTTAAAATCAACACTCCATTTACAGTCCTTAAGAGAACAAAATTCTGGGAGGAAACCTATTATTACATTCAACAGCATGAACACATACTGGTTCTTTATTTTATATTTATTTAAGAATTTAGGGAAGAATATTTCTTTCCTATCCCAGGAAGCACAACAAGCCCCCATCAGTAAAAACATATCCAGGAAAACACATTTTTCAAGATTTAGAGTGTGTCAGGTGTGAAGTTTCTAGACCACCACCAATATTTAATATTGATGCTCAAGCATTTCCTAGAAGCGATTTTATCTCCTCAACGGGGATATTAAGGCATGGTGATCACAATTAATTTGGTCAAGAGAATGAAGTTAAAAACCATTATTCTTACTCCAAGGCCACAGCACCAGACTGTAAAATGTATACTTGATTATTTAGGAGGTAAAAATGTGTTAACAAAATATAAATAAGCTTTCTACCTTTTTGTTTCTTATTTTACTTTATGGAAAATTCTCCAAAAAGGAGAAAGGGAAGTAATAAGTTAAAACTCAAGTTCATCCTTTCAAGATACTGATTTAAAGTTTTAATATCGGTCCTACTGTCACATTGGACAGTCTAACAATGTTGGGACAACAGAGCAAAAAATATATTTTGACACTCAGCTATTTAAAAATGTGTGATACTTATGTTAACAAATATCTAAGTTTCAGATATTTATATAATCAGTTTTTTTATATTTCAGGTAGATGCAGCTTAGATAAAAAAGTTAACAGATGCTTTTACCATGGTGTTCATACGCACTCCTCCGCTGAACTTCTGGTTTTGAATTAAAGCACACAAGGCTCCTCTCATGACCCCGATCATTAACTGCTGGTTATCTCCTGAGAATAATACCAATTATCTCCTGAGAATAACACCGATGATCTCGGCGGGACTGCGTGAAGCACTCTTTCTGATTAGCAGCCCTGGGGAGCTGAGAGCCCCTGAGCAGCTCTTGAGCAGGATGGGTGACTGTGGGGAGCGCACTGTGGAAGGCGCCCCTCGGGGGCACCCCCGGGTCCGCCTGCAGGGCTGTGAGGGGGG